TGTGTGTGTGTGTGTGTGTGGATGCACGCCACAGACTTGTGGATGTGTGTCTAAGTGAACCTATCTTGTCTAAGTTTTGGATCTGACTACATTATCCAACCCTTTCCCATGGCCTAAACACCTCTGTGCCGCAAAATAAAATAATATGAGGCTAAAAGTGCAACAGTCCCATTTTTACTGTTTCGTTGGTCAAAGTGAGCATAATATGCTGATTCTGATCAGGACCAATGACTCAATAAAAGAGGGAGCGGCCCCTGGGTCTGGATGTGTTTTTCGCACAGTAAATTCCAATTTCAAAGTGGTGTCGGCGAGAAAAACTGGTTTGCTGTAAATTAAATAATTTCACCCACTCTGATTCCTCCCAAAAATCATCCTAAAACTGAATTGTGTTGATAGCATGAAACAAACAAACAGGTACATTTAGAGCATGATAGAACAGCTCCTGTCTTTGTGATGAATGGATGGTTGGAAATACAACAGTCTTCTTTCATCATCCCTCTGCGCACATATTGTATGTGGATTTAAAATGTTCTTCTGTTTCTGTCCTGCAGCTCGCCACGATAAAGAGTGAGTCTCGTCTGAAGCATCTCCTTCAAAGGTTACCCAGTTACTGTCCAGAGTCCATGGTGAGTCTTCTGTTCACTGGAGATATCTTTATGCATATTGACCGGGTGTGGGTGTAACCATTATAAACATCCTGACCTGAGAATCACAGTTGTGTGGTATTGCATCATATCATGTTGCTTTGTACTGCATCAAGGTCCCAATGCATGAATCTTAACTGTTCTTTGGTTTATTGTCAGACTGTTACTGTTATTACAAGTGTGCCGTGATTTACAAAATAAGGTTTTCAATTCAAAAATCAGATGACACCAGTGAGTCTATGACGGTGGTCAGTGCTCTCCGCACTGATGTAACATTCATTCAGTTCAGACTTGTGTGCTGCATCTAAAGCTTAAAAGGACAAACTCTGATTATTGCCTTTACTGCCCCGCCTGGCCCCTCCTTAGCAGCACCACTGCACTGAGGCACATTATTTCACAGGTCAACGAGTGACTCTGCTCCTCTGATGTGTTCTAATCATCGCAATTAGAACTGATCTTTATTCATATTTATGTTCCTGGATAAATGGGGCTTCCCTTTGTGTGTGTCTGCTCGTCTCTGTTGCTCTTCACACACAAACTGATAATCAAATTTAGTTAGTTTAATTTAGTTATTAATCGATAATGTCGGATCATGACTCTGGATCGTTCCGTTGCTTTAACCCAGATGTCCTGACTGTGCGCGTCACATTACGGCTCGTGTTGTGTGAAGCAGTATATGCGTGCACGGTGTTTAACATGTCTAATAAACTCGGTTTCTGTTGCTGCACAATTTTTTTTTACGTTTATTTAATCAGGCAATCACATTGAGATTAAGATCTCTTTTCCAGAGGACAAGACATATTCATAGCAACAAACAATCAAACACAAGCAACAATAAAACAAAACAATCAAAATAAATTAAGAATTATTAAAAGAATACATTTGCTGCACCCCCACTATTGTCTATAAAGTTTTTACCATCTGTACAGACAGTCAGCTGCAAGTGGCATGCATGCAGTTCTCTCATGTAAACAACTCTCAGGTTGTGTGAACATGCACCCCGGTTTAATTATTTCTGTGAGAAAAAAAATCCCTGAAATATTTTTTTGCCTAATCCTGCCAGTAAAGAAACAAAAACACAAATTTAAGCAAAACCTCCTTGACAGAGGTAAGGAGAAAATCCTTTATATGCATCCTTTTTAACTGCAGCCTCAGAGATTATTAGTAACGGTAAAAAATAACAGAATGACAGACAGTACAATGTTTACATGGTTTTCCCCTCTGTTTCATGAGCACACTCTTATCACACACTTAAATCGCATGTGGACAGTTCATGTTGATTAAAGTGATCATTGAACATTCTCAGCAAACAATCTGATGATTAACAGATGCAGTTAATTGGAAAACGACCAGTGCTTTTGGACAAATATCGCCTCCTTTTTTCAAGTAAGAAGAGCTTCATAACCTCCGCCAAGGAAATTATGTTTTTACCCCAGTCTGTTTGTTTGAAAGCAAGATTAGGCAAACACTTCTGGACTGATTGAGATGAAACTTAGTGGAAGGATGTGGTATCGGTCAGGGAGGAACCCATTACATTTTTGTGCAGAAATGAATATCTGGGTAGATCCAGGATTTTTTTTTATTATTTAATTTTTTCAATCTGGCATGTTTAGGGAACTGATGTGATTTGGTGCAGATCAAAATCTACTGGCTGAATAAAAAATGTTTGATCCCCTTCTGGATGCTGTGGATCTTGCTGAAACCCTTTGAATGAGTCATGACTGAGTTTTATTTATGGTTTTAATTGTTATGTTATTTTGATTGAACTTAGAGCACATGTAACGTTCTGACGTCTTGTTGTGATGCCTGTGATTAACTCTTGGTCAATGTTAAGACAAAAATAGTTTCAATTCTATTGGATTTATACAGGAAGTGGGTTGGTGGTTATGGTGAGCAGAATACAGCAGCACCTGGTTAAACCACACACACACACACACACGTGTGCACAGGCTCAATCCTCCTTCCTCCCACCAAAGCTAATTACAAAGCAGAAAGGCTAGCTCAGTGTGTGTCTCATCTCTCTCCAACACTCTATTAGAACCACACCAGTAATTAGACATAAGCAGTCGTAAGTGTTTTCTATTATTGAAACATGCGTCCTGTTCTTATTTAGCCAAACTGATGCAAATGCACTGAAATGCACTGACTTGTTGTCACATAGGCCTGTTTTGAATCTTTGTTTTATGATCTCTCCTTTCATTCACCCGTGGACTTGTTAAGTGCCAACTTTAAAGCTATATGTTGAAACTAGTATGTCTCATGAAAAAATGTACTTGTCATTTTACAGGAAGCTTCTACTTAGATGTTTTTTCTAATTAAATGTCTTAATTCACGAATGCAGGGTTTTGTAACAATACTGGGAGGAACATACACACAGAGGAAGCAGAGTTCAAAAAGGCAAAGTTAGTCACAATAGTTTTGGACAAGTCGACGATTCATAAACTAGGGAATAGACCAACGTCAAAAACCAAGGAGAAAACACGAGGCTATGGAGAGTGATGAATACACAAGGGAACAGACAATGACAGGAGTGTTTATGTTATCATTAAAACACTGGTGTATGGGCTTCATGGTTTTGTGATTTAAACCAATCGAACATCCTCCAAGGAAGATCATGAGGTGAGGTCGAAAAGCTTTAGTTTGGGTTCGCGGTTCCAATATCAGGAATGAACGAGAGAAAAATAGTGTCAAGTCAGTGGTTGAAAACTGTGTTAACAGTGTTTACATCCCTGTTTTTATGTTTCATTATGCACACTAGTATGCACAGATATGTTTAATATTTATTCGCAGCATTTTTCTGAGACTAAAAAAGGAAAGGAAATGGTGAGATTTGAATCAGACGTGAGCACAAAGGTCTTGGCTCCCTGGACAGACATGGTTTTCTGCTTAGGCTTGTCTAAAGTGCAACATTATTCTTCCTGGCATGTTCTTGTGTTATTGGTCCCTGCTTCATCACAAATCATGTCTACGCTTCATGTAAAGTCACTGTTACTTCTCAGTCTGCCCTATAAATGAAGCTGACGCCTGCTGACGGGAACCTTTGTTCCCCGGCCAAGAAACACGAGGGGAGTGTTAACAGTGACGTATTAGGTTTACACAAATGACTGTCCTTTAGAAGCATAACAGCACGGAGAGCTATTTCTTCCTTCTGCCGTGATGTTTTCTGTCTTTCTGCGTTTTGCCGTCGCCATCAGTATATCTCTGTCCATTAGACACAGGAGACAGACAAAGGTGTTGGCACTGACCAACTCTAAGATCAATTTAATCAACACCAGAAAATTTAAAAAGAGATGAAAACAAATTTTCTTAGATGGCTGAAAAGTCTGTGACTGCTGAAACTGGGGTATTTTAACACAGAATAAACATCCAAAACATGTCTGTGAACTGTGGGTGTTTCTTCACCTGTCCGAGCAACAGTGTGGTGAGGTGAGGAGGATATTTACTGATATGTGAAACAAGAGAATCTATCAGCAAATGCTTTGCTTTCGTATCAAAAGGCCTCTTTTAATACTTTCATCATCATAATATGCACCCTAATTAATTAGATTGAGATTGGGACTTGATCCCCAAGACCTGAGACTTGTGATTTGCACAACAATAACTTTGTCCCATCTCTGGATTCTATTCAATAGTAGAGGGACAAGCAAAGTTCCCCTCCTCTTGAGTATTGTTACTGTGCAGCAGTGCTCAGAATAACCTTTTGTTGAGTAATATTAAATGGTACACAACACGCTCAAGGTCTGAGGTTATAAACATTTTAAAAGCTTTTAGTTGGGACATATTGTGTGACATTAACCCTTTCCTCTCCTTTGCCTTGTAGAATGAGCTGTGGATGTGCATCAACTCTACACTTCCAGGTAAAAAAACAACATTGAAACTAAAATTTCAAAATCTTTCACCTGTCAATTAAAACCTCCTTCTACATCTTAACATTCAGTGTATGTAATGTGTTATGTGTAAACCCACAGATAAATCAGCTCAGAAAAAATGCAGTTCCCCTCCGTTTGTTTTAAGAAGCTGCACCGTTACTATTTCGATTCAGCTGATGGAAAGTGCTCTCTGTCCACGACCTGCTCAGCATCAAACAGCACACAGACGCTGTCAGGGACTGGCTGTGAAGCACAGTAAAGCATGTAACAGCAAAGGAGCCACATGCAACCTTTTCCTCAGGAGTTGATCAGAGGCCTGAATAGAATTAAAAGTCAATATTGATCCATTATGTCACTTGTCAAACATCCACAATGTTCCACTTGTCGAGGACTTTTGCTGTTTAGCTGAGAAAGTAACAAGATTCATAGATTCTTATAGTTTCGAATAAACTACCAGATGTTTTAGTCATGGGAAATTCTATTCATATATGGGCATACCCTTAATCCTCATATCTATTCTCATAGTAAAGATGATGGATTGATTCATTGTGGAGACACAAATAACCTTCGTCTGGAGAGGATATCCAGAGAATTCCTGACTTAGTCCTCAACTAAAAAGAATGTACATACAGTTACTCAAAAAGGAAACACCTTTAATCTAGTATTGTCAAGACACTTGAGCTGTCTCTACTTTGTGTATCTGGTTGCATGACAAGCATTGGTACAAGTGAAGCTGTTAAGTCTGTGAGGAAAGCCGACCCAGCGTTGCCGAGTGGAAAGCAGCCAGTGGCTCAGGACTCAGGGAGAGATTGAAGCTGTTAAGGAAAACACCTCCCTCAGATTCTGAGGCTGTGAGATATCATCGATTCTCTGATGTTCACTGCATTCCAACAGCTTTTAGGGATTTACTCTGATTGTGTAACCACTTCTCCCCAATGCACCAGCTTCAATTAATAAGTCCTTCATTTCACTGAATGCCTTCCAACTACTTGAAATACAGTAGACCCTATTGGAACTCTAAATAAACTGGGGTGTAACGGTAAAAAACCTACTGTCTTGTATGTACAGTTTTAGGGTCTATATATAATTAGTGTAACAGGGGATACAAAGGTGTAGAAGTTGACTTCTTTAGTTTATAAGGGTAGAAGTTAAAGCCCTGAGTACTTAGTACTTGTGGGTCGGACCACACCCATCTTTGAACTTGGCCTTCATATTGATCTTAACTACACACCCTGAAAGTTTCATGACTGCATCGGGCTCCGTTATTGTGACCATATTGTGTCCACAGGCACGCAGGCTGTCTTTGGCAGGCTTGTAGCAGTTCTCTTTACTGTGGGTGTCTCCAGGACACACACACACCTCTCACCATATGGGCCAAACTGCTGTGGCTGGTAATTAAAAATATCCATTAAGACAAGTTAGTCAATTTCTAATTAAAATATGTCCCTGCCGTCTGTCCATCTGGATGGAGAGGGAATGTGCCAGGGCAGCCGATGATCTCTGGCCAACTGCCGCTGCTGCTCCTTCTCACAGGACTGTTTTAATGGACTGACTTCACTCATGTGAAGGATCACTGTAGTGGAGCTCAAACACTGTAACAGATGCCTTTGTTTTTTTTAATGTTATAGCCTCATGTAATACTTGATTTATTTAGGCTGAGACCAGTTTCGGCGTATAAACTCTGGTTAGGATCTGTTTGTGATTGTGGTTCAGGGTATCACTCCAAGAGACTCCAATAGATGTGTCTCCTGAATTTCATTCATTTAGGGCAAAGTTAAAGCAAGGGGGTTTGAATTGTGTTAGGGGGCGCAATTGAGCAATTTTGCCAAGCCCATCCACGAGATACGTAAAATGGCCATCAGTACTTAAGCTCTAATAAATTACATAAATAACAGATCTAGACAATGACCCCTTATGTTTTTTACTCTTAAAATTGTGACCAACCTTCAACATATAAAGGTGAATTGGCATTTTTGTGTTTCATTGTGTGTGGCATCGTCCATCATACAATAGGATGAAGCCAGTATCAGTGCTCCTGATTTATCAGACTAGCTCTAATAGATCTAAAATAAAAAAAAGCACCATGCACCATTTTGGCAGTGGATAATGGTAGCATCAAGCTACTAATAAAGGGAAATGTTGGCCCATTAAATAAGAGTGTGTGAGAAAGCCCACTTAAATTAAATCCTTATCACATATGGCTTAATCTTTGGTGTTTGATTTGTCTCCAGGAGTATCCAGGAAATCAGATGGCTGGGTGGGGCTGGGCTGCTGTGAGCTGGCTATCTCAGCTGAGTGTCGCAGGGAATGCAGACAGGTGACAAAGTCTAAATAGAATATGTCCATATGTCTTTGTGAGAATGACTGTCCCAACAGTTTTATTGATTCATGCACAGGTTCGGTCCATCTATGCTGTGTTTTCTACTTTGTTTTTATGCAAGAGCTTAACCTGCTTTGGTTTTCTTTTCTTTTCCCTCATAGGCAACATCTAAAAATGACATAACGAAAGTTTGCAAAAAAGTCACGGAGGTAAGTCTTACAGTATAAGCGCATACATATTTAAAGTTATCTTTTTAAGAAACAAACCAAAATAAACAACACTGTTTTTATATTCATCTGAAAGTATAGACTTGTGGTTCCTGACTTTTTGTGCAGAACCTGAGTGGGGTCCCAAGATTAATCTAAGGGGCCATAAGATGGTTAATGAAATTAGACTTTCCTGTATCTGCTTGTCTTTTCTGAATTGCGCCTGAGCCACATTAGGTGTGTGTGTGTGTGTGTGTGTGTGTGTGTGTGCAACACGTGACGGCTGCGTAGCTGATCTGTTGCATCTTGTGCCTGTCTGTTGTTTACACATGGAGTGTGTCTGCTGCAGAGCTGCTACGTGAGGTTCCTGGTGTGACTCTGTATTTCCTTGAATATAAGTAGGGCTATATACTCAACTAAATGCCAGGACTCTACAATATGAAGCTGTGCATCTTCTGATCCTGCAATACGAACAATCATAACCATAAACACACGAATGGAAACGCTAGAGTGCTTTGCTTTGAAACAGGTACAGGAATGGTTCTAAATATTTATGTTTGTGACATAATCGAAATGGACGAGACACCGACTCTGTAGAAGAGCAGCTCGGCTCACGTTCAGGAAATTCACCTTACAACATTAGCACTGAACTGAAAAGCAAGACGTTCCACCCTTGCATCCAGTATGGCCTGGACGTTAGATTTTCAGAGGCCTGAGAAGGTAAAGACCATCCTCTGGTTGAACTGCTCATCACTCTCTACAGTGTTTGATAAAGTCTCCTTAAGCCTTCTAAATTGCTAGGAAATGGAGAGACAGTGCATGAACTTTTTTTAGTTTTTAAAGAAGTTAACTAATTAGCAGAGTCTAGTTTCACCTCAGTTTTTCTCTTCTTGTTCTAGAATTCCCTCTACAGCTGCATCACCAAAAATGAAAGTAAGTTGTTACTCATATGCACAAGCTGAAGAGAGAAGAAGCAAACACATTCACAGACCTCCTCTCTCCCTCCCTCCAGCCAACAAATAAATAAACCTCCGGAGCACATCACCATGTTTTTATACCAATAGATGGGCTTGTTTGAATTCTTTCTCTGCTCCTTTCTCTCTGTCTCATTATTGCTCTGTCACACATATTGTAAATACACAACATGCACAGATGCACACACCCATAGCAGAGCCATGTCATTTCTCTGGCAGGATGTGCTTCAGCCAGAATAATGAAATGTTATGAGTGTTTATTTGCTCGAGGGTCTGAGCACTGAATTCAACATAGAGTCATTGTTAAAAAAATAATGCAGTGTGTGTATGTGTGTTTCCCTTCAGTGGGCTCTACATGCTGCAGCTATGCAGGGCGTCACACCACCTGTAGGGAGTACTGCCAAGCCATCTTCAGGACTGACTCAACACCCACTGTGTCTCAGATCAATGCTGTCAAAGAGTATTGTCAGAGTCACAGCGCTCAGCTGCTCAGCTGTGTCAGCAACTTCACCAAGTCCTACCCCATACGCAGCCCCATAGACAGTAAGTTTATCTCCTCACTACACCGGAGATTCTTTTCTACAGCAGTAATAGAATCAACTCTCAACAGCAGATGTATTTTATATGTCAGCAGTAGCTGGTGGGAACTCTCCTAAAGGTATACTCTACCAAAAATCATAGACACCACCTGTGGAGATGAAAGCGGTGCTGTGAAAAGTTTGTATCCTGCCCCTTCACAGAATAGTTTCAAGACCTAGGGATTTGTTGGCTTTGATATCCACAGACACCTCTCAGACCACTTCTGCTGCATAAACCACAGCTTTTCTACCCAAGTTCTTCTCCACAAAATAGCTGAAAAACCTTTTCTTTTGTGCAGCCATTTCCTGTTGGACTTGAGGCTGTATTAGCCTGTAGTAGAAACAATAGTCAGGTGCTCATGAACATCAAAACAGTTTATGTTTGCTCTAATCATTCTTCCTGCTCATACTCACCCTCAAAACACTTGACGTTTGGATGGTATCTAGTCTAAGTCAGTCTGCTGAGGCCTTAACTTCAGATAAACATGATTCTGTGCAGTGTTTCACAAAATCAGAGGATGTTAGAAAGAGAATATAAATACAAATTAAATCACTGCCTTCTTTTGAACAATAGTGTTTTGGTAATCTTTATGTCAGAAGATCACATTTAATTTTTTTCAGTATAATGCATCATTCATTTTTCTGAACATTTTAAGAACGTTGCTTCAATGGTAATGTAAAAGTTCTGATTGAAAGTATTCGGGAATTTATACTCCATGACTACTGGGCAACTCCATCTGCTGAGGAGGTCCATGTGATATTATCAAAAGCCCTAAAACAGTGGACAGATCTATTAATGTCCAATATTTCTTTCTTTGTTATATTATGTTCTCTCAATCCATCCCTAATTTTATCCATCTTAATGCTTCACTTAACTTGGTAAAGACAGTAGGACCCCAGCTTTTAGTATGAATATGCTACTAAGGAACATATTGAACTCTCAAATCAAAAGACTCCTGTCATTTATAGGAAAAAAACATGAATTTCTAACAAACAAGTTAAAATAGTTTCCCAACCTCAGAAAAGGTAAGGCTGTGCCTGCATAACCTTGAGGGCAAATTGTGGAAGGAAGTATAGATGCTCTTGACAGATTGTTACATGAAGTAGCTACTGTATATTCCATCATGTTATAGTACATTTTCCAGCAGTCCATCCATCCTTCATATCCAGGTCTGTACTGCTGTGACCGGGCAGAGGCTACCCACTGCCAGGTAGCCTGCCGGAGAATCCTTCGCACCATGAGCACAGAGCATGAGATCATGGAGGGTTTGATCGAGCAGTGTGGCTCTCAGCCCCTCCCTCAGGAACCCATGTGGCAATGCTTTCTGGGCAGTGCCAACCCTCCTCCTCCACCTGAAGAAGAGACCCCCCATCCTGTCAAGATGGACTGTGCCAAACTGCACTGTTGCTCCAAGGCCAACACCTCACTCTGCAGGTACTGCTAAGCACAACTTTCCAGTAGATATATTCCATATATTCTAAGAGAGAATGAACTGTGGTTGTTTGCCTGATTGTAAACCAGAGTCTGTGCTCTGCTCTGACAGGGACATGTGTCAGGAGATCAGCACTAACTGGGGCAGCCAGACGTGGCAGGACTTCGACCAGCTCTGTGAATACAATCGAGTGGAGACAGAGCTCATCAACTGTCTGGCCGATGTCCGAGAACCCTGCCAACTGGGCTGCAAGGACCTCACCTACTGCACCAACTTCAACAACAGGTCAGACTACTGCCATTCACCAGGGTTAAACCATAGACCATAAATAAAGATGGACGACTAGATGGCCCCAAATGTGAAGCCAAAACATCTCGATTGCCACCTGGTGGCTGCCTCCAGTAACAGTCATATAGCCCATCTTCTTCACAAATCCCACTTAAGGTAGTTATTATAACACACATCTACAATTGTTTCTGTTAAGTTTGGTTTAAAACAAAAATTATACCATAAAACTATACGTCATAACAGACAGATGAGACTATTATTTAAATCGCTGGTGTCAGTGGGATCTCTCGACTGCCGCTCTATCTCCTGGTCACTATGATGCAGATTCTGGCTTCAAATTTACAGCTTAAATCAATAGATGAAGAGCTCATCTGTTTTTGCTTTCATCCATTACTTTCCAAATGACAAGTGAGCTGCTTCACTTCCCAATTTCAAATGACACTTCAGCTGCTTCACTTTCCCAATTTCAAATGACACTTCAGCTGAGCTTTACTCTTAAGCTGACAGTTCAACAGTTTAGACTGACATACAGGTATCAGCTTCTCTGCTCACATTCTGACTAACACTAACTGTGCCGCTTCACTTCACTGGTCAACTGGCATTTCAACTTCCAATTATAACAAATGTTCTTACATCTTTCACAGAATGACTGACATTCATTTACTTCTAAAACTTCAGTATTAACAGACATTTCAGCTGCTTTGGTCTCTTAAAGTACAGTTTTGCATTTCTCAACTTTACACAACAGCTCAACTACTTTCAGCTCTTACTTGCTTACAGAGTTTAAACTTGTTACTGAAATTTAAAAGTGCGTATCAATTTGTGTGTAAATTATAATCTTTTAACCGTCCTTTTGAACATCTGTGCAAATGCAAAAGGACAAGGAGAAACAAAGAAACACAGAAAAAACAAAAGACAGATTTATATTGAACCCAGAGTGACCGTGGAGTTATCAGGACCACAGCATGTTTTACACACTGTCTACAGATGGGGCCAAAGGCCAAATGGAACGGCTTCAAAGGCTTCACTGGGAAGTCACAGTACTACACACACATCAAAACAAACTCAAATACACTTCACACAGCAGTCTGCTGATCACCTGGTGAGCGAGACAACTGCAAATGCTCACAGTGTTCTTAAATCCCAGGTCAGAATGGCAGGATCTGAGGGGGATTTTTTATGGAGGGGTTCATCTAGAGCAGAAATGTGCAAGACAATATCCAGGCATCAAGAGAACACTTGAGTGAGGATAACACTTAAAATATAAACACATCCACTGCAAAGGTATTTGGACTGAGAAACCTACTGTGTAAAAAGCACTGCTGTTTGTTTATCATGGAGAGAAATACATGACTTCAACAATATCTCATCATACTGCACATGCAAAGATAATAATCCTTAAATATGTCAATGCTTTGTTCAAAGAGAATTTGAAGCTTTTACATTCGTGTTATTTTTCACAAAGAAAAGCACAAGACAAATTGTGGTTCTGGATCATGATGGCATGGATCCCATGCTGTGGCATTGTGGGACTTGAGGTTCAGGCAAACAAAGTTTCTTTTAGTTTCTTTGATGGGCTCCAGAAGATCCTTGTATTGCTTCCTCCTCCCCTGAGGGGTTCAAACGCTGTGATGTGTAGCCTTGAGCAGCATGGAATAAAAACACTGGCCGAGAGGTGGTTTTATAGGGTGAAGTGCATGTGGCTAATAAATGTTTGTGTTTGTGTGTCGGCCTATGTCTGTGCGGGTGTAAGAAAAGCTCTTGAACCTTAATATTAGACACAAATCTATCATGCCAGTCCTGATTAAGAGTATTGCCTCCAAAAAGGTTTAGTTTACACAACCCAAAAATTGGCATTCTCGTGTTTTCATTAATTAGATGTTTCATTCCTTTAGTAATTATTTTTTAATTTAATTCACAGTGAGCCCATCTGTCCCAACTTCTGGGCTGTCTCTATGAAAGGAGCTCAAAAATTGGGGCCCTCATCTCCTTGGCTGCATTTCTCCACAATTGTGCATTAGACAGTATCAATAATCACAATGAAAATGATCTCAAACAATGTTGTGTTAAGAAGTTTTTGATGCTTGAACCAAACTAAAGTCAAAGGAGAATATATTTTTTCAGGAATTGTCACATGCAGGTTGGGCAAAAAGCCTTCTATCATAGACTCCTCAGGTAGGTATCTCAGTGTCCTCGCAATGGTAGAGGTCCTTATAGATGCCGATCCACTATCCAATCTGAAAAAACAACTAACTCCTTAATCTAGGGGAAAATATCATGAAGTCTACTGTATGAGATGTGATCCATAATCAACCAGAGTAAAACTAACATGAACATTCAGACCTTTTGATTTGGGGAAAAAAAGGTTATGGTGCAGGCCGAGGGAGCTATGCTGTGCTGAACCACTTCGGATTCAGTCTTCATTCAGAATCGCAGATTATAATACACGAGCATCATAAGCACTGAAAAAATGCACAATTTCTACCAATGCTTCCAGCAAGCCTGGCACAACCGGTAGGTCTGCACAGACGCTCTCAGACATGGGCATCACTTGGGCATCATTTTACATCACATGGACCCCAGGCTTAATATATTGATTGGATGTATCACATCAATGTAAAAGATATTTCTGATTCCACAGCTAGAGCCACAGATTAATATTCTCTGTAAATCATCACTAGCCTTTCTCCAAGAGTTCAAACCTAACCACATCTTTATTGTAGTAAAAGAATACTGTAGATTTGTGACACAGTTGTGAAGGTTTTAAGCACATTGATTACCATACCTTGTGGGAATTTAATAAAGATACATTTCTGCCTGGATTTAGATGGGGTTTAGAAGACTGTCCCGGTTTAAGTTCCTTGAATGCCATTCTCCATTACGAAACACAGGAAAGATCCTTAGTAAGCAATTCTGAATGAGAATCAGCTGATAGCCCCCATTTAGTTGTTGTTTAAAAGGAAAACCACCATTTACCAATTTGGGGTTGAATAAAGTTAAGGATCAGGGTCTGTCTGTCTGTCTGTCTGTCTCTCTCTCTCTCTCTCTCTCTCACACACACACATACACACACACACAGAGTCACTTGAAGATAAACAAAGCAGCCACTCATCAGCAGCAAATGGAATGATGGAACCACACCCAGAACTTCTGCCTGGAACCTTCTCCCTGTAAACCACCAATTAGCTGACTCACTTGAGACCAAACCCACCAATCAGACATCAAAGACACTTCCTGGTGCATTGGAAGAGGAAAACAACCCCACATTATCCAGAGGGACTTGAGCTCCCTCTGCATGGCTACAAGGCTACAGCTGTCAGCATGCTTTGTTCTGACAAAAGCCAGTTGCAAGTGTTGAGATACTAAGCCCTTGTTTTTTTCCCTCAGTGCTCACCTCTTTGTAATCCCTATCTTTTTTTGTAAAATAGTGCCCTTGAGTTGTTATTACTTTAAAAGTGCAATCAAATGTTAATTTTCCCCACAAGTTCTTGTAAATATAACTCTGTGTGTCTCTGTCCGCAGGCCCACAGAGCTGTTCCGCAGCTGTAATGTCCAGTCAGACCAGGGAGCCATGAACGACATCAAGCTGTGGTCCAATGGAACGATCAAGATGCCGTTCATGAACATCCCCGTGCTGGACATCAGGAAATGTCTCCCGGACATGTGGAAGGCTGTAGCCTGTTCCCTGCAGATAAAACCCTGCCACAGCAAGTTCAGAGGGAGTGTCATATGCAAGTAGGTGTACTACCATTCAACATGCATTCTACACTTTACTTAAATAGATGTAAACAGTTTTCTAGGCTCATCGAGCTTTCGAAACGCTATACACTATACTACTAAGCCACATTCATACAGCACCACTGTGCTTTTATTTTTTGCATCACCCATTCAAACTCTGCCGGCACAACAATGTCAGTGGCAATTTAGGGTTGAGTGTCTTTCCCAAGGACACTCTGATCGGGTAACGAACCAGTGACCCCCAATCAGCCAGCCGCCCATTATTATTCCTACACAAAAAACTCTCAAGTGGCCAAGGCCTATAGTTTCCTAAGTGGCAGAGAGAACTAGACCTATGGCTTGTATTAGCAACAGGCTTTTATTTTTGTCAAAACAAGACATTCTTACTAGCAGCAACAACAATTGGAATGAAATGTGAATTTTAATGGACTTGCTGTAGTGATATTACTTATAATAACTTCTGTCTCAACTGTGCTTTATTTTTGTCTTTAATTTCTCATATTCACTTAGTTACAGGTTGAATACAGCCTTTGCTCTGTCATCATTTTCACCGCATCAATGCACAGTATAAAGTCATGGAAACAATAGATGAGAACATGAATTTTTCTGCCTGGGGTTTGGAGGCCCTGTCCTACTTTCAGGACCTGCTCTGTCGTGCCCGGAGTGTGTGTGTGTGTGTGTGTGAGTTCTCTTTACCCCTTAGGCTACGGTGTATAAATGTCTTGTTCGCTCATTTGTCAGACACAGACTTCCTCTCAGGTTTTAATCTTCCACTTGTATTGAATGACATAACACCATCACGCATGCAGCCACGGGGTGTGTGTGTTGGCAGACCCTCTCGTTTTGTCATCATACAATGACACGTGACCGCTTTCTGCTTTGTAAATCACTGTTATACTGTACGTTCATGTTCACTCTGTGCTTATGTTCTGTTATTATCTGTCCCCAGATCAGACTGTGTGGACATCCTGACCCAGTGTGGGGACAGGAAACGTTTCCACGAAGGACAAACACCAGAGAGGATCTGTGAACTGATTTCACCAATTGATGACCCTGAACGCTGCATCCCCCTCCACAGATACCTCAGTGAGTCACCTCAGTGGAGGACATATTTTTCAGACCTGAAATCTCTGAGTCTCACAGTGAAAAGCAGCAGTATTTCTTTCCTGTAAAAGGACTCAGTTATAGATGGAAATGCCATGCAGGGGTGTAACTAGGAAAAGAAACGCATTAAAACATTTCGATTTGCACTTCTTTATCTGTACTACTCTTAGTCCTTGGCTCATACTCATTCAGCCTGATCTGTAAGTAAATAGATATGCGACCACTAGAGGGCAGTGGAACACAGAAGCTGAGAAGCTGACTGACACAACACTTCATCTGAAGCTGTTATGGTTATTATTTTATTAAAAATAAAAAAATATATTTGTACATTCAACACACACACACGATAAAACATTATCATATAATTTGAATCGCGATTCTGGCCACCTGACAAGGATCAGTTCACTGCTTTTGATTGACACATCATGTGCCATCATGAAGTTGATATATAAAGCTTATAGTGAAACATCTCATCATCTAGTATAGATTGCATGTACAATTTGATTCTGACATTCACGGTCTCCTCAGGATGAACTGTGACACCTGCAAAATAAATAATAGTAAAGCAGAAATTATGAACGTGTCCATCCTGATAAGACTCCATGCCTCACATCAGCATCAGCATGTTAACAAGCACACAATCGCAAGGAAAACATGTGATTTAAGCAGCATGTTCACCATCCTAATTCAGCATGTTAGCATGCTGACATTTTGCTCAAAGCACCACTGTAACCACAGAGGGCTGCCAGTACAGCTATAGTCTATATTCTCTCCTAGTGTTGTTAATTGTTGGGCTTAGATGTCAAGTTATTTCAAGGCGAAAATCTGAATTGTCAAACATTGTCTGAAGTCACTGGTGTTCACATGTTAGTTGAGTAGCAAATATTTTTGTTTTTGTGTGCCAAAGCATTCATTCATTAGCCAAAGCTTTATTTTGAGGGTCGCTGGGGGACTGAAGCCAGTCCCAGCTGAGATGGGGCAAGAGGCAGGGTTACACCTTTGACAGGTCACCAGCCTATCACAAGGCAGACATTCATCAACAGTCATTCACTCTCACATTCACACCTATGGTTAAATAAGAGTCTACAATTACCCTAATACCTAACATCAGTTCATTGTTATGAGGTGTCAAGCCACTTTACATAGTAAGGTTGAGACCTCAAAATGAAATGTCTTCTTAGAAAATAGATAGAAGATACTGTCCAATCGTGTTTAATCCCATTTTACCTTCCCTTTCCTTCACCCCTACTCACTCAAACACTTTATCCAGCCCCCAGTTCCCTTGGCAACAACATTGTTGAGGAGGTTATCCATCCATGCAACCCCAACCCCTGCCCCAGCAACCACTTGTGCCAGGTCAACAGGAAGGGTTGCCTTGATGAACTCAACTGTCAGCCATTCCTCTGTGTACCAGGTACTACCAACCATTGCCATAGATCAGCAACTTAACTACGTAAAGCTGTGGCATTGCAGTCATTTTGTATGTGTGTGTGTGTGTGTGTGTGTGTGTGTTCTCAGGCTGTAAACTGGGTGAAGCCTCCGAGTTCCTTGTGCAGCTGGACGCGCGTATCCAGGTGCCAACTCGCGCTGGTCCTGCTGGGTGCTATGAAGTGTGCAGCTGTGGTCCCAGTGGGCGTCTGGAGAACTGTGTGGAGACGCCCTGTGTGGACATCAACAAGCCCTGCATCGTCGGAGGACAGAGGAAGAGTAAGACCTCTTTCATGTCACTCTTATTGTTGTTTGGATTTTTTTCGAGGTAAAAAGTCTAATTACAGCCTTAGATGTTGAAATGTTTATTAATTCTGTGGTGATGTACAAAAAATACTCATTAACTTTTATGACCTAAATCTGCCTACTGAATGTCATTGAGATCGTTTTGATGAAGGAAAGGCCAGTGTTGTGACATATCTCAAAGACTCCTCTTGTATTCCTCATGACTATCAGTCATTAGACTCATCACTTCTTGTTGAGAGGGGAATTAAATTTGGTATAATAAGTATAATTAATTTTCAGCATCTAAATACGAGCAGTGGGGCATTCCTCTCTTCATGGCATGTAGTGGATGATTGGTAGAAGTATAACTTTGATACCAGAGACCCTCTCATGTCAGCCATCTGTGCTGGGTGGCCTGTCTGACAGTTGGGAGGTGTGGTGACCGCTCAGTTTCGAGACAGCATTTAGAATGTGCCTTATTTTCTTTACACTTTAAGAACTACTTTTCTTTCAAAATGGCTTTTATTTGCATTACAAATGACCCACACATTCTGTTGGTTTATTAAATTACCTCCACTTTTTTAGGTTCATGCAGCTCTAAATGCTGAGCTTGAGCATCAGCTGCTGTTGCTAGGGCAGCAAAGGAGCCAATCAGAGGCATCGATTGGAGCTCGTGAAAAATTCACACTTTGATGTTTGCAGCTGGGAACAAAACATGAATGCCAAAAATGTGTCCAAAATAACACAGTATTGAAAACTGAATTCCTTTAGCTGCTATATTGCACATCACAGAATTGTAAAGCAATACTATGAAACTTATACTGTGCCCTTTGCAGCCACATGTCGTGATGAATCCTGTTGTGTCAAAGCGATTACGTGGTTTTCATTTTGAGAAAAAAAACATAACCAATCAATCTTTTGACGACAGCCCTCACTGTGCAGTCCAACTAATCTAACCAAAACACAAAAGAATGGTGGATATTACCCATGACCTCCTGCTTCCTGAACCTTCAAAGGTGCTGCTGTAACAATTATTTATAACTCTGTTTCGATTTTTTCATATTTTAAATGTTTCCTGGCTGAATGTTGGAGATAAATGCTGGTTTTCACTTCTACATCTCTTTAACTGATTTGTAGTTCAGCATTACTCTTGACTCGCTGGCAGATATGAACTTCTCACAGGAGATTGTACCCACTCACCGAAGTTAGACAATGCAAAAGGGAGAGGAGTGGGAATCAAAGCTGCATAAATTCTCACTATTCCAGTGTACCATCAAACTCATTTTAAAGCTGTTTAAGGCAAGAAAAACATCTCAAAAAAGCTCAGTGATTAGTTTTTCTCACATTATTTAATGGTGCAACCCGGGTGTATAAATCACCACTGCAAAGCTAGTTTATATCCATTAATACAAATGTATTGATGGATCTAGAAACAGCTGTTCCGACACAAACCAGGTTGCTTTAATCTGCTTATTTCAAGCTCAAATCTTTGGTTGTTTATATGTCTAAATGTCATGGCTGACTTAAATTGTTCTTCCTGAACCATGCAGCTAAGTGATCTACCCATCCACAGTGCCAGACATTGCATAGCATAGCGTTATCAACAAAAGCTGAATTTAAACTGTCGGCTGCAGCCTCAATCTGAGACCTGGCTATCCTCAAAGAAAAATTGTTGTCGGAAGCCAGGAGTCTTATCAGTCATCAGACTCCTCTGCCAAACTAATGACATGAGACACCACAGAAATTAATTTACAGATGATTCTAGTGGAGATGAATAAGTTGTGGTTCTTTTCAAATGAGGCACTGAAGATCAAAATGTCCTCTAAGGTGGTGTCTGAGGTGGAATGGTATTATGTGTGCCACAGACCGTGTCAGTGACTTCTGTCAGCAGCACCTGGATCAGAGCAGAAAGCCCTTTAAGGATTTCACAGACTTTAAATCTATGCAGTCACATTTTTAGAAAACAGAAAAATAACTTCTTAGAGGCAGATGCACAGATGAGACCACTGATCACTTAGAATTCATATATTACCGAAGTCAACTTGATCAATATTTGTAAATTCAAAGTTATTAATTAAGAGTCGGTTTGCATACATTTTCAGGATTAAACTCCACATTATTATAATTTTAGTTGGAATTTGAGAAAGGTAAAGAGCCAGGCAGAATGAAGCAGGTTTACAGACTGTTGAGTAAAATCCTCCCCCCTGTTAGAAACAGTAGGAATTAAAACAACATATTGACAAACTGTGGTCACAGAAAAACCTTTAACATATTAAGATGGGTAGTATCAACTGTTCAGTTGTGGATTAGTCGTGAGACATTTGTTGACTATATAAATATAATAACAGAAATGTATTGTCATTGGATAAACCCCTTGAGGCTTATCATCTTGTTTTTGAGGGGCTCCCATGCACTTACAGATGGGAAACAGAACAGCACAAGGGTAATCACATAACACAACAGTTACAAAACATACAACAAAGAAGAGAACAAAGTAAGGAGAGAAAGAACAAATGACAAAAGTTACAAATGAAACTAGATACAAATCTATGAATAAATAAGGAATAAGAGAAGTAAAAGAAATGATGAAAATCACCATGTCACTAAGCTCTAGGAACCTTTTGCAGAGAAAAAAACTTGGTAAAGTAAAACCTGTAAGATGAATTTTAGGGGGTTATTATGGTATTCATGCAGCAAGGTTTTCCTAATAACGCCGGGGGGGTTAAGAGATTATACAGCATTCATGCTATATGGAATGGGTGTTATAGATTGGAAAGATTCTCATTCATTATCTGACAACTCAGTTAGTTTTTTCTTACAGAGTTGACGAATCATGAGTCATCCATATTTATGTGCTTATGTGTCTCTTTTGTATTGTTAAGATTCCAGTCAGAGCTTTTAGAAAAACATTACTTTCCTACTCTGCAACCTGGATGTTGACACCAAGGCTTTTTTCACTGCCCAATTAACATCAATATAAATAAGTGAGAACAGAAGGTGCAAGGACTCAAAAAGCTGCAGAAGGAATTAGACAGCAATCTGTATCAGAGGCATTCCTGTGTGAAAAGAGATCACATTGTGAATATATAACAGTTTTGCTTTCACAGGGTAAAGGAACAGACAGTTCTGGCTGCTCGGTACATGTGAGCTTGTTGAAACTGGATTATTGGCGATTTCTGACACTGTTTTCATCATCACAGCAAAAAAAAAAGGATGGTCCTCTAAAGGTGTAATATGTCAAATGTATATGTCTTTTACTTATCGATTATTTACATGATATGCATTTTCCAGCAATTTTCAAAGGTAGATACATTTTCAGTTTGGTCACCTGTCAACAGCGCGTATCTCGCTTTATCAGATAAAATTCAATTGAAAACAGGATAGAAATTGAGAGACCCCTACTGGCAGAAAATGACATGGTCCAAGTGAGAGCCTCTGGATTATCTGCGCACCTTCAGTCAAGTCAACATGAACAGGAGTCAGGAGAATCCAATGTGAAAACACAGCAACAGCCCTCCCCCTGGATTAACCACGAGAGAGTGGTGGGGTTGATTGGTGCTTCTAACACGCGACAGACACAAAAATGAAAAAAAAAACAGAAAAGAAAAGAAACAAATATCTCCTGATGAAAAAGCGGTGCCACACATAAAGAGAATACACAATGACGGAGATGTCTAGAGAGTTTGGGGCGATACGAGCCGACGCCGGTGTCTGTGTGTTGTAAAGAAAATGACGTGATCTCTGCAGCAGAATGAATGCGTTACTTACTGCCTCTGTCTAATGCACCTGGCTTCTTCACCTCTTGCCTGAATAAAGCGGAGGATAAGTTGCTGTTGTGAATTCGTATGCACGGAGAATCTCCTGCTGCGTTGTGCATAAGTGAAAGGCAAACTGCAGGTAAACTATGGAGCCAATTCTCTGGATTTTATCCACAGTTCATGTCTTGAACCGGCTTTAGATTTAGACATTTGGAATGGAGGAGCAGGTGATCAAACTATCAACCCTTAGTTTAGGGAATTATCTGCTCGTCCTCCTGAGCCACAGACAAGGGATATCGTAAGAGGATAAACCATAAAATGGATATGATAAAATAAATAGGAATAGCCATTTCCAAGAGCATTCACAAAAAGAAGAAAATAGAGAGATTAAAAAGAAGCTCGAGTCTAGGTTTAGTAGACTTACATAATGCTGGGGCTTTAAAAGCAAATAGCAATTTCCACCCTAAGCTGTGACCTGAGATTTGCCAGCAGGGAATTTGAGAGGTATTTAAAAGAAAGATATTTCTAAAACCGATAAGAAATCTAAGTGTGGGGAGGCAAGTACACAAGTGTTGTGGTCCTGCCTCTTTGCTGAGCAGCAGCGTTTTGTTTCAGCTGGTGATGGTGGAGGAAGCCCTGGCTGACACCATTAAAAGAATCAACGGGAGAAGAGATAAGAGCATGTGCAGCTTTTTGTAAAGCAGCAGTTGATAAATGGTCGTGTCTCGGATCAAAATGGATGGTGCTGTGCATGCACGCTGACCCACCTCTCTGCATGGTTCATTTTCTGTTATAATCACTGTGTGTCATTTTAAAGGCCTTTAAATGGGGGTGTTTGAAATGGTTAGTTGAGAGGTTTCGTGTAGCCTGTATTTAGCCTGAGAGGTAAAACCCAGGGCAAAATTAGCTTAGGGAAACAGTTTTTTCTTTTTAATTTGAATCAGTTCTCTTCTCACTTACTTAAGTTTGAAGTGCATTGCCAGCTGAATTATATCATCAACAAGCATGAGCACTCCTTTATTGATAATTATTTATAAAGAACATTCCAAGTGTTAAGTGCAGACAGCATAAGAGCACACAGCCCATTTCTTACATTCCATGAGCCAAATGCATTTAGTTAGATTTCCTCTTCAATGGCAGCAGGGTATATATTATATACTGTGGAGTGTGGACTAAATAAGAAAAAGAAAAAAAAAAGTTAACTTTATCTGCAAGAGAAATAGTTGGGGTGTGGATTTTTCTCTGGGTGCAAATATTCCCAAGGCTCATCAAGATTTTTAAGATCTGTAAAGATAAGATATATGAATTTTTAATGAATAGAAGAACAGCCAGCAGGATATTAATGGTAGTAATAAATCACTGCTTCCGTGTAGGAATGTATAGATTAATGATCATTCTTGACACCAATAACAAGCAATGAGTCAAATACTATTTTACACATTCAAAACACACAATCCATCACTCAGTATAAGATGACTCACTCCTCTTTACCTGAACGCTGTCAAAGTCCATCACTCGTCTACAGCTGCTCACCACAATGAGTGATGGTGGCTCTTTTTAGACTCATCACTAACAACTGGGTGTGGTTCAACAAGGGGATGGTAATGTGTACCTGAGAGATTGTGCCATGTGATAATGATAACAACAACAACAATAATAATAGAGGTGTATTGCTGTGATACCAGAAAAAAAGAAAAACCCAACTGGAAATGTTTCCAGTTATAATGTGAACATTCATCACATTATAATTAGAAAAGTTTGTTATAATGTGAAAAGTGTAAGCTTATATAATGTGAAGAGTTTTCAGTTATCATATCATTAGGTCTCTGGTAGAGGTGCACTCCCCATTATACGCATAGCCGCTGGCTGAGATGCACTACAGTTAAATTCCATGATGTCTTCCGTTCCCCTCCAGCAGATCGATGAGAAATAAAGTTACTTCCAGAGGGTCGGACTTTCCCTTCTCTACCGCCCCATGCATTTTAAGATCCTCCATAGTGTGTGCATACTTATCACAATGTTATCCGCCCTCTCAATAACAGCAACATCTCGCCATGTCTCAACCAACGCATACAGTGGAACTCAATCAAGTCGTGCAAATGTTCCTCTTTTCCTCTGCTTGCCGCACATCTCGTCATATTAGGTTTTAAAATGTACCTTTTCACGTTATAACTTTAGATTTTTTTACATTATAACATTAAACTTTTCATGTTATAGCATCAAAAGGACTGGTTTTTTTTGTATTTTTCTAGTGTGACATAGAAAAGAATAAGAATGGTAAAAGAAATAAGAAAATAAAACATTCTTAAAGGTCCAGTGTGTAAGATTTAGATGAAAGGGATCTATTGGCAGAAATGTAATGTTGAATAATCCTTGTGATGTTTTCACTAGTTCATTTCATTTAAATTGTATGAATTGTAGTTTTCTTTACCCCAGAAAATACCCTTTATATTTAAATACTTTATATTTACATTGAGGGGACCCTCTCTACGGAGGCCTCCATGTTTTTTACATTAGTCCAGACTGCACAAACTAAACACCTTTTGAGTTTTTATGACAACTGAAGCTACCACAGGTTCTTTTTCATGTTTGGAAGGAGAGGGTGAGGTGAGGGGTGTTCAGCTGCAACATGCAACTTCAACACTAAATATCACTAAATTCTACACACTGTACCTTTAAATGATTAAAAAAATAAAATGAATGCATTGCTAGCTCCAGTCATTGCTACGTGCTCTAAACATTAGTTGTACATGTAAACACCACACAGTAAATGTCACATCTTGATATATTTGAAGGTAAACCATGTTTTTTTGTGTCTTGTGTATGTCACCTCCAGGCCATGGGACATCTTTCAAGATTGACTGTCACACTTGTTCCTGCTTCGCTGGCAACACCATCTGCTCCACCAGAGAATGTCTCCGCTTCGGCAACTCGGACGAGGACAGACTACACTTTACGGGTCCGTCTGTGTAATGGTTTAAATAGATGTTGTGGTCATTTCACTTAATAAGTCCACCAGTTGAAGGATCTAGAAAATGAAAAATTGCTCAATGACATCATTGTCTTTGTTATGCACAGTTACCATGGTTACAGATGTCTTTTGTGAGATTAGTGGGAAAGGCAACAGTTTTCTTGCACACAGTAGTAAATAGCTGGCTGTGATTAGTCCGCTGTGATTGAGGAGTCATCCACTAACCAGAAGGTTGGTCGGTCGATCAGTTCCTCCAGTCTGCGTTCCTGTGCCAACAGTGTGTGAATACTGGGCTTTGTGAGACTGGAAAAGCCGCATAGGTAGTATGAATAATAATAATAGAAAATAGAAGTAAAGTAATAGAAGTATATTTACAAAAAATGTTAAATACAGTTATCATTCATCTACAGAAAAACTGTGAAAACTATGGGATCACATGATTACAGTGTGTCCCAGTCAACCTGTCCATTCATTTCATGGAAGGAATTCATTATTTCCTCCTTCATAATGGCATCTATTGCACTTCTGTCCATCCTGGGAGAGGGATCCCTCACATGTGGCTCTCTCTGAGGTTACTACGTTCTTTTTTTCCCCTGTTAAAAGGGTTCTTTGGTAGTTTTTTGCTTACTCTTGTTGAGGGCAGAGGATGTCACACCTTGTTAAATGTGATTTTTTTGAATATGGGCTATAAAAAAACATTTGATTGATTGATTGATAATAATCGTTATCTCCCCCTCTCTCTCCCACAGGTCTTCCCTGTAGTTGTCCGGACCGCTTCATCCCAGTGTGTGCCTCTAATGGGCGGACCTACCCCTCTGCCTGTGTGGCTCGCTGTATGGGATTCAAGGACCATCAGTTTGTCTTTGGCCAGTGCCACCTGAGTAACCCCTGTGCTGACAAACCATGCCAGAGAAATCAGAGGTGGGTTCTGCTGCACATTTCCCCCTCCTTTTCTTTTCTCTCTTTCCCCCTCCATCTCTTCTTCTGCAACTGTGATTCACAGTATGTTGCTCTTTCACGTGGCTGTTGTAATTCAGCATAACAGGCCACAATACCACTATCACAACCATTTCATTCCCGAATCATCATAACACCTTGGACTCTACCCATTAATGATGAGCCCTCACCAGTATTGTTTTGTAGGATCATCCACCTTGACAGAAATATGCATCTAAGGAAACATCAATGATTATCATTTTTATTTACAAAGTGAATTGTTAGTAGTATTCACAGACCAATGGGATTAGAATGTTTCTCTTAATTATGTATTAAGCTCAACTTCAGAAAAACCTGTATTAACCCATAGGCCTTTAATTGTAATTGCCTTTCAAACAAAGGTTTATAGTCACACTCAGAAACAATAGTGAAATCTGAAGTGGCATGCTCAAGATTGGTGAAAAATGCAACGAATAAAAAACTCTTTAAAGGTTAAAGATGATAAATGACACATCTAAAATGAAGACATGTCAAAAGTTCAATTCACTCATCATTATTTTAAACCTAATTAACGTTCTGTATCTCCTTGTTTTCTGATATTCTCCTGTTGTTATCGCAGTAAATTCAGTAACAGACATGTCATAGTCTCCACTCTACGTCTCCCTCTTTGTCTTCTCTTTAAACCTGTAATCAATCACTGATTTAAAGTTAACTCCTTGAAACTCAACACTTCTGCACAAGTTTCACATAAAATTCTTTGAACAGCTCAAAAAGCATAATCCCTCACAGACTAACCCCACAGGGAACCCTTAAAGGGAGAGTTTGGTATCCTTAGTGGAGAAGTGGAATATTGTTGTTTGCATGTGCATTCTCTGCATGTGCACAAGATTTAAAACACACACACACTAAAACAATGCTTTATACCTCAATTAGTGTCCAAGTTGGACACATTTAATTTACAACATCTGCACAGGGTTTAATATTTTTTACAGCAGTGTAACACCAATCACAAATGTGGTTTAAAATTAACAGGAATAAGTATTATAGCACAGTTGCTCTGATGCAGGTATGTGTAGGTAATTCCCTGCCCTACATTAATGATCTTCCTGTATCTGTTCATGTCAGCTGCATTCTGCTATTGCACATAATGATTACACTGGACTCAGGCTAGTGCCATGTTCACATGAGTGAAGGGTAATTCCCCACAAGTTGAACGCACCATAATGTCATAAATTATGCAGCATTGCTACAGTATGTGAATTCCTCAGCTCTCTGCCTTTTCCTTCCTTTGTGCTGTAATCTTTCATTTTCACATTTTACTGGTTACATTTGCACTACAAAGCTTTTCTAAGCAGCAAAAGACAATGTAAAATATATTTGTCCAAATGATGAGCTGCAGACTGAGAAGATAACGCAGGCTGATTGGAGGATTGTGGCACTTAATTTAATATTATAGTGAGCTAATGTATCATATGCAGAGTCATCAAATGCTAATGGACATATATATGTCTGTGTGTTTGTGTGTATATATCCAGAATTAAATTAAATGTAGAGCATTCCATCGCACACTTTGCTGACATGCTTCCCTGGATGTGTCCTTAAGTATCTAAGAATGGCAACGACTGAAAATGAACTATGGCTGACTCATCTGTCAGGGAGCTAACAGGGCAGTTATCCTCTCTATACATAATAAGGTCATATGATGATTCTTATGATGCTGGTTCTTTTGACATTCTACAAAAGAAAAGTGACTGAGATCCTGAAAAAAGACTTTTTTTTTTACTTTTGGAGAAACTGCTCATTTTCATTTCCACCCTCTGCTCCACATCATCCAAGGTATTCAGAGAATGTATCTGCTCCAAACACAAGCCAATCTATCAATTAATCAATCAATCAGTTTATGATTTATTAGACCATATTACCAATGTATATTCACAAATCAGTTCACCTCATTGGTAACATCAGAAACTTTGATAATCCCAAATAAGGCAGTGTTAAAAAACTTTTGCTCATTACTGTGTTTTCTTTAAATTATCGACTCTGACAGCAGCAGAGGTAATCAGAAATTGCTATTTCAAAGAACTCCTGTGCAGTATTCATTCATAACACCCACACCAACTCTGCCGCTGTCAAGGATCTTGTAGAAAGTTTCTGTTTTAAAGTTAGGAATGTTGCTGGTGCCATTTCCCCAATGAAGATCAGGTAAGAAAAAAGCTCCATGGATGAATTTCACATTGCTGAGAAAAGAGAGTGTAGGCAGTGAACAACTAAACTCCAGGTTCATTATAACAACTGTGAAGAGAAACTTTGCAACTAAACTTTGCATCTATAAGTGATACAAAAAAGTGTAAGACAGTCCTATACTTTCCTGAACATCAATTAAAATTACAATAACTCTCATGCAGTGTCATTGACAGAAAGATTATACGAAAACAAAAAACATTCTTTTGCACTACTCCTAAATGTTTTTTTGTACTGTTTGCAAATATGGTTATTCTATATGTAGTTATTTGCCGATGCTGCTACTATCTTTGTTAATTCTATATTTCGATGTATTTTTATTTACGTTCATAAATGTATATATAGATATCTTGGAGAGAGAAGCATCTTTTAATTTCATTGTACCTGAGTATGGTGATGATAGAGATACTGGAATCTTGAAACTGTGATTTTAAATCTTGAAATCCCTCAGGCTCAGTAGAGATAATTCCATAACATCTTCCCTCCTCTATTGTTAACCAAGTCATTCTAAGGACAAAACAAGACGGCTACTTTTAGTTTCTAAGCTCCACACCTCCTTCCAGAATAGCTGTGGTCTGACAGCTCATATAAGGAAAGGCCCGGATAGCAAACGGATGTGGCCACTTCAGGTAATGATGCAACACTTCTGGCCTTCTTATGGACATGGACAAAATGGATATGAACCTGAATCTGCCCATGGGGTGAATTGTGAATATGGCCCAAGTAGCAAAAAACCAATATGGTGAACATGTGGTATTGCTATGGCTTGCTTGTGGCCCAGGTCTGGCAAAAAGGACCATACCGCCCAAATGCCATCAGTCTACGCTGCATGTGGGCTGGATGTGGGATGTTGTGGGATGTGTTGCAGTCTATGATTAACATATTAACTTCTGAGTAACATTAGAAATATATTTTCTTAAGTGCTTGCTTTTACTTTTGTTTCCATTTGTATTGTCTTTTAAAAGCATTTTTAATGGTTTCTCAGTGTCTTATTTTTAAATGTTATTTTCTCTATACAAGTAGGACAGGATGCCATATGTAATCAAATTAAAAATATTGGTCATTAGTTGACTCATTTAACTACATTCTATCTAGCTTTCCTATGTTTAACATTATAAGATATAGTTCCTAAGTCCCAGAGCTGCTTTACAAGGAGACATCTGGTTACACAGGAGGGGGGTCAAATGTCGGTCTTCAGAACAGAGAATATTCACGTGTACTTTATGATCTCATTAAAACAATGTGTCCAGTGGAGATAACGTCACATAGATGATGTCCCTCTCCCCCCCTCCCTCAGACATACAAACATGTAGCACCGTCCCTGTCTCACTCTCACTCCCTCACTCTTGCCCATTACTTCTCCCTCTCTTCATTTTCTCTTCTGATTTGGTCATATTTAATTTCCTGCCTGGTCTTTTCTCACTGCTACCAGTTTGTCTGTGCTCCTTACGCAGCTAACCTGAGCTTCACCTGATGCTCAGCCGTTATCGTCTTTGCTGCAATTTAGGAGGTGTGCATTCATTTATAACAGAAGAAAACCCACACATGTTATAGGTGTCCACTTAAGCTATCTGCTTACTGAACATAAATCCACACAGTGCAACCGATCACCATCCAAAATATTCAATGAGCATTGTATATTGTCGAACAGCCGAAGACAAAAAATCTGTGTTTTACTTTTCTTATTCTAAATGTTTACACACACAAAAAACCCAGTAACACTCACACACACATTCACACAGGCAGATTTAGTTCCTTCACTTACGGCCCATGATGACATCTGTTGTCCTTCAGCGCAAACTTCCATAAACTCTCTTTGTTCAGAGCCTGAACATGCATGGAGGTATCTCCACACACAAGCAAACACACACTCACACATAGTCACAAACACACACACACCTTTGTTGAAAGGGTAAACTGCAGTAAAAGTCAGCAAGCCAATTCCCATTTGCTGAACACCTGATTGGTGCCCAGCCTTGGAGACTTGTTGCTATGGTGATATAGCAGATTCGTGATGTGTTTTCTCCTGTTACTTTGCTCTTTTATTTCTGCTTTCTTAACCAAAATATAGTGTATAATATATGATGTTTTCCTCCTTCACTGGGTTTGTGTAATGATCAATAAATAAATCAAATTGTATTTGTATTGCCCATATTTGCAAATCTCAATTTGCCTCATAGGGCTTAAGATGTTGCAACATCCTCTGCCTTAACCCCTTAAGAGTGAGTTAAACTACCAAAAAGAAACTCTCTAGTGTTTGTAGTCTGAACCTCTCAGCTGGTCTCCTCTCCAAAAGATGAATGAATAAATGGAAATTCTGTCTGTATTTCCAGGTGCATCCCAAAGTTTCGTGTGTGTCTGAGTAATTCATCAAACTGCCCGCAGTACGAGTGCATTGGCCGGCCGGCGGCATGTGATAAGAACAGCGTGGAACCCGCTTGTGATACCGACGGCTTGGTCCACCCCAGTCTGTGCCACCTGCAGCAGGCTGGGAAAGCTCTGGCTTACATGGGCCACTGCCAGGTAGGTTACACTGGAGAGCAGGAGACAGTAAGGCTCAGGGGTTGTTGTGTTCCTCTGGTGAAGTGTAAATTGCTCAGCAAAGTGTTTACCTGCTGTTGCTGCTGGGATTTTTTTTTAAATTCATCTCTCTGGCAGGGAGCTAAACCATGTGCAGCCCTCACTGTTGTTAAAGCTAATTTGCACTCAACAGAGTGCAGTCCTCCATCAAAAAGTAATAATCCTCTCAGTTAGCTGTCACCTTCAGAGTCAACACAATATGGGGTAGAGGCCAGGGCGGTCACTGGAAGACATAAGTATTGCCTGCTGGTGCCACTAAAAGGAAAGTTCTAAATCAAATAGTTTCAGTGTTAAGTGCACGTTTGCAGAGGGATGGTGGTGGTTATTTTGTCTTTGGGGGTTTTGGTCTGGCTGGTGCACAGCATACAGTATAAGTAGCATAGACACACTATATTTTCGCCACCAAACATTTTATTAGACTGAAAGAGGCAACGTGTCAGCCCAACTACCTTATTTCTTGATAAAGTTTTGTTATAAATATTTCATACTTTTATTCTATACTATATTTTATACATACTTCAGCATGCTGAATAGGGAAGACTGGGATCGTACCACCAGCCATCTGGTTAGGGGACATCCACTCTCACCCCTGAGCCATAGGGTCATAAGGATAAAGTTTAATGTTTTTAATAGTTGTCTGAACCTTCCTCCAGTGCCACCATCAGAACAAAACGTTTTTGAAATCTAATCGATGGATTCCCATAAAATATACTGAACCCATTCTTGCTCCTCAGAGGATGATCCCATTGTAGTTTGCATAAAGGCTCATATTCAATAAAATAACCTAATAGCAGCAGAGAGGAAATCATGGAAATGTGGAAATAAAGACGACTAAAACACACGTGATGTGAAGAAAATATAAAGTATGAAGTAGAATTCACTGTGTGTTTGCGTGTGTGTTTGCAGGATGCCTGCAGGAAGCGACAGGAAGTTTGCGGCCATAACGGTGAGACCTACAACACAGTGTGCGATGCCTTCTCTGACCGCGTGGCTGTGGACTACGAGGGCTCCTGCCACGCTGTGGGGGCTGTGTCTGACGTGGCCCCCGAGTCCGCCTGCAGTTTGATTCCCTGTCCACCTCTGTCGACTCCAGGCTGCCACCCTGTCACACCGCCCGGTGAGTAGAGCAAACACTCAGATAGAAAGGTTACAGGTATATTGGATGGACCACCCTCAGACAGGTTAAAGCTGTAGCATGAATATAAAACACAGCGTGACTTTTTCTTAAGACTGTACAATGAAAACCCCTGACCTGTGACCTTTTCAGGAGCATGTTGTCCAATCTGTGCCAGTATGCTGCAGATCCTGTGGAGCAAAGAACAGATGAACACTTTCTCTAAGGTAGGGACTTATCTGACTGTTTAGTAGTCATTTATTCATGAATCATCCCTGACACTAAGTGTATTTACTCAGTTTAAACTCTCGCACTTAATGTATCTAGTGAGTTAGTAGTTAATTGTTGATGATGACACAAGGCCCAGACCCAATTGAATCCGAGTGTCCCTGTGTTTTTGTCTGATCTCCTCCAATTTCTAGAAAGAAACTGTTAATATTGAAATAAAGTACAAGCACAGTTCTCTGGCATTCAGCCTAAAATATTCTGACTTGCTTTGATCAGTTATATTAATTAACAATAAAAGCGCAAGTAATAGTCAGAAAAACAGAGATGGTCAGACAGGTGAAATGCTGCACAGTAAATTCAATTCCCAGTTCACTTGTATGCCAACATAACGCTTGCTATAATTTGCCACGTCATAGCAGTGTAGCTCCATAGGTATTATCTTGAGACAAAAATGATTTACTTAACATTCTCTACGTGCCAATCAGAAGTGATTACCTTGTTCAACCTTTAACTGCAGTGTCGTCCCCTGAGCCTCCCTGAACGTGTGCCCAGCCTGTTAAAGGCCATCAGTGTCTAAACACCGACATGTTTGTAGCTAATAAGTCCCACTGGCACCTCACTCTGATCAGCTTAATTATACAACAAAGCTTTGGCTGTTAGTCAACTTGGCTGTAATCCTCAGCACAAGAGCATCATAGTAAGAGTCATCATTAAGCCTTTTGATACCAACAGAGCTGATTTAATCTGCAGCTGCTAAGATACATGACAATATGAGAGACTAATGCTGAGCCTGCTGAGAGCACCTCTGCACTGCAACAGGCTGCTTTAAAAATCATTCACATTTTTGTCGATGGAGGGTTGGGGCCATTGGCTCATGAAAAGGACCTCTTCTCCACTCCTCCACATGAAAAGCCCCGTTTCCACAGCAGGAACTTTCCCCTACAAAGTCAGAACCTTTGCAGGAACTCTGAGGATTTTCACAGACCAGCATCTGCACTACTATCTGGGGAAATCTTTTCATCCCCCAAAATGTCCCTGTTCGGGGGGGGGGGGTGTACTTTACTACCGCACAGCAATCTATAGTGTGGGGCTTGCAGTACTGAAGATGCCTGATTGGTATCTTACTCCTGTGTTTTCATTTCAGCGGATCAGTCTCCATAATAGCTCATTAAATCAGTTTGCTGATGTTAAGTCTATCATTTTAGGTGTTTTGAATACATCTCATTACTAGTCCTTGTCTCTTCTTGCGATCAGCACAATTTGAATCTCTCATGTTTACTGTTGCAGTGCCACTTTATTTATATATCGTGTTTTATACCTCAACTTGTCTAAAAAAATTAATGATCTGTGTTCTGTTTCAGGAACAGTTAACCATCATATTTAAACTCTTTCAGACTGGTTGTTCTAATGAAACTTCTAATCTTCAGTTGTAGCAAAGTTTTTAGTCGCGAAGATACAATAAATAATGCTGCGTCTCAGTTAATAAAGATTTAATAATGTGTAACATTTAACTAGAGCAAAATCCCTGTATCAGTACAAGCTAGTATCAATTCCAAAAATGACAGTTTTAGAGGTAATAGAAAAGATATATCTATAACAATAAGAACAAATATTTCATATAGTCAAATAATAATCAAAAAATTGACTTTTTGTACTTTGTAAACTGAAGTTCTATTAAAAATATATAATTTTCATTGATAATAGCAAAGCTTCAGGTCAGACATATCAACTGTACACCTCGAGTCTTCACTGTAAATGAGTCAGACGTTAGATTTGTCAGTTAGTTCAATTCGGAACACAACAATTATACACTTTTAAATATCTGGTAACAACTAACCTCTTACCAAGAACTAGATTTGATTTAGTCACGTGTTAATCACTTGTTGCACAATTTGCATTAGAAAGTTTTAAGTCATGTACATATGGTTTAACCAGTCCCAGGCTTCGAAGAGAGAAGCATCCATGAGTTAGACAGTGCTGTAGCGGTGAAATGCTAAATCAGTGTATTACTCTGTTAACACAGGCTGGATTGTGGCTATTATTGCATTTCTTTGCCACAGGGTGGATTTGCTGTTTTCTAGCCTGCTTGCTGTAAATAATGCATTGACACACTAATAGATCTTGGAAGTGCTGAAGTGCAATGTAAAGTTCTTGCAGGTTCATTAATCTCCAAAAATATCGAGATGAAACAATGAGGACATGACCTCAGTGTTGCTTGGAAATAAAATGGCACAGAATAAATGATTGAGTTTGTTTGAAGAAGAGCTGGGAGTTTTTTCTCAAGTAGCAACAGATGCTGTGGCTTTATTCATGTGGTTGAATCATAATGTTCACTTAAAACACAATCTTAACTGCTGCATATTCAAATGAAAGCATAGAAGCAAAGTAATACAGCACCACAGTAATAAGGATAGAGATATCTGTACTGCTGTTACATTCTTATTATTATACTCTATTGCATCTGTACTTTATTAGATATTTTACTCCCTACTGTTCTCTAGATTTACTTACCTCTCTTTTTTTCATTTGCATTCGACACCATTTAGTCAGATTATCATTCCGACGTGTGGATGCAGGATACGTCTGATCTGATCCCCTGGGAGATGTTTGTCATGTTTGCTGCTCACTGAAATTCCAGCCTCCAAATATCAAAGGAATAGTCAAAACCCGGGGAGTCTGAGGAGATAAATGCCTCAGTTAAATCCTTCAAGCCACATTCACTTACTTTAGTCTTCCTCTCAGACATTCTGCAACACTCTACTGCTGCTAATTATTGCATTCTCCTCATGCATGATTAATGAGAAGATGAAAAACACAAAGCTGTTTACATTGAAATTAGAAAAATATTTGCTATATAAACATCTGTGCTTGCAGTAAATTCTCTTGCTGTCCGTTATGTCCCTGCTAATGTTTTAATGCTAATTGAATTGGTATTTCAAACAGTGGCAAACACATTTTTGAGACATATAATAATCAGCCAAATGAATGGAATAATATAGAGCCACTGTTGGTGGAAATACATTTAGAAGAAGTTTGAAGTAGACATTTTTAAGAGGAAAATAGTTTTTTTCATTAACAGTCAGGTTCCAAGTAATAGAAATGTCATAGTATTACTGTACATAGTATTAAATTATGACTGTTGATATTCTTCTAATTTTAAACATTCAAATTCTTTCCCTCATAATATCAACATGGTATTTGGAAAATATCACAATTTAGGGACATGATATTATGGCATTTTCCCTCACAAAGTTACAACTATATTTTAATATTTAAATAAAGTCAAAAATTTACCTTAACAATAGCTCACACTTAAAAATAATGAATCAAGCTTTCAAAAATCTAAAAATCTTTGTTTTACATTCAAAAACTATTATTATTGGTTTGACTTCAGACGAAAAGTATGTGGCCTGCAGTATTTCTTTGTTAACATTTTAAAAACAGCTACAATCTTTTGAACATTGTCTGATGTTGGACCTTTCACCCCTGTGTCCAGCTGAATAAGAACCAGCCACTGACGGTCCATGATGTCCTGCGGATCCTGAGGCTCCATGTCTCCGTGCCACAGTGTGACGTCTTCGGCTACCTGAGCATCAACCATGAGCTGGTGGTCCTCATCGCTCCGGTGGACCAGCAGCCAACCCCACTGCAGGTAACACACACACACACACACACACACACACACACACACACACACATTAGTTCATTTTGATAAATCCTATTAACACCTCTCTTTTGGCTGAAAAGCTCACCATAACACCAAAGGGTTATCAATCCTCTGCTGAAAATAATCCACAAGTGCGTTATTTCCTCAGGTTTGAATAATGTTTGCTAAGCAATACTGTTCTTTTATTGAAAAACACTGATTTGTTTCTTCAACTGTATAGTAATATTATAACAGCAGCCTCATCCTCTAAGGTTGTAGATGAAACAAAGTCTAAACTACACAAGCATTATAAACACAACAAGTGTGAGCGCTTCCCAAGCATTGCTTCGCGTTAGCGTTGCTAATTACCTGCTTTGCAGCTTCTGGACATGAATATTCATGCTCACAGGGATTTAAGTGGTGAACCGAGAGGGAGGATGCGTCTGTCTCCTTCAGTGTCTCACTTCACCCTCCTCCACTTCATCTGCATTATTTTATTGTCATGACTGTTTATTACATCGGTAACCTTATTTTAGCTTGTTCAAAATCTGCCTGTCAGTGTGAGGCATTGTTACAAGAAAATAGCCTGACTGGAGTGTCATCACAGCATCATCATCATTAATCGTGTTTAACCTTGTGCTGCAGCCTGAACGGTTACATGGCAGATGCCATTCACTTTAGACTTGTGCTGTGTTAGTGAGATGATAGAGGTTCAACTTATTAAGACTGCCATTTGTAAAAGAGTCTGACATGCTTATCAAGCAATCAATCAAGTTTTATTTGTAAATCACAATTTGTCTCATAGGGCCTAACAATCTGTATATAGGGTGGCATCCTATTCCTCTCACACTCGACAAGACGAAGGAAGAACTACTGAAACAAAACATTTTAACACAGGAGAAAAAAACGTAGAAACCTCAGCGAGAAGTCCCTCAACAAAATAACAATTAATGTCAAACATAAATGGTGAGTTTTGGAGAAATGTTTAGTGAGTATTTATACAAAAGAAAATGTCTGACAGAGATGAAGGGAGCTGGAATGCCAATTATAATTTACCTCAAAATGAGAAGAGATGATTTATGCCAGATTTAGCTATCAGCTCATTTCCATCTGCAGTCCTTGGGCTGGTACACAGTTATCTAAAATGACAAAGGTATTTCCAATAATAGTAATATATGTAACATCTAACCAATCTAGTTGTAATTGTAATGCACAAAAAGCTGCCACCATGATCCACGATGTGGCCACAGCTAAAATCTGGGATCTGCAAAGCACAAGGAATTTGGGGGAAGAGGTCAAGTCAGTCGCATGTATTGATGAGACATTTTTGTGATGAAGAGGAAAAATAAGAAAGAGAATCTCCACGTGTCATGTGTCCCTCAACGATCTAAACCGAAAGCAGCATGACTAAGAGCAGGTCCAAGACAGACCTGAACCAGCTCTAATTATAAACAAGAGGGTTTTAAGATGACTCTTAGATGTAGAGACGGTGTCGCTGGGAGACAAGCTTGATAGCTGAAGGCTCTGTCTCTATCTGTTGAAGATAACAGGGCTGACAAGCAAGCCTGAATCATGGGAGCACAGTGTTCTAAATGGTAAATGGTCTGTATTTATATACCGCTTTTCTAGTCTTGAAGACCACTCAAAGTGCTTTACACTACAGTTTTCCATTCACCCATTCACACACACATTCATACAGTGCTTCTATAGCTAGCACTTTTTTTGATGTTCTATTGGGGTTCAGTATCTTCAGTATCTTGCCCAAGGACACTTTGGCATGCAGATGGGAAGACTGGGGATCGAGCTTCCGACCTTCTGGTTGGAGGACGACCGCTCTACCCCCTCAGCCACAGCCACCCCGTTCTAGTGGGGTAATATGGTACTATGAGCTCTTTAAGGTATGATGGTGCCATATTATTAGGTCATTGTCATCACTATCATGTCACATATTATACAGTATATGTGCATGACTGATGCAGCCCTTCCCAACAGCTCTAAATGTAATTTGACCAATACAAATGTGTTAAAGCATTGATGTTTTAATATTACAGTCACCAGAGTAACGTTGCAACCAGTACACTGCTGATAACTCTACTGACAAGAACCTAAGTTTTTAATAAAGCTCTTTGTAGTATGCAGAGTCTATAGTGCTTCATACAAAAGCTGCTGATACTAATGGAGTGTAATTCAAGTGTGGAAATGAGGAGGGCATGAAAAAATGATGACATCAAGAGAAAAAGACAAAATTTACAAAAAGTCCTCGAATTCCATCATCAAAACAATGTTGCACTTGAAGAAGCTTTCATCTAGAATAGTCACAGTTTGTCTATATACACTTTCAAAGTTCTGGTCACCACGCGCATCACTCATTATGTTTATTATTGGACCATTTTCAATATGCTATACAGTCAAAATGTCTCAAATGAATGAACAGCAGAAACAACAGCAAAGAATATGGCTCTCACAGCAATCTTTCCGAGCGAATATATCATAAAGAAAGATTGCATCTGTTTAGTTTCTATGGGAGAAATCAGTGCAGTGCGGCTACAGAAACCCATCAGGAAACAGCAGGGCCTGGAAAGTACGGTTGTGATGGCACAGATATTTCACTTGTTAAAGTGTTCCTGTCTCTTTTTTTGGGGCTCAAGGTCTGACTGTCCCTGTGAAAAGAGGTAAAAGATATACTGTATAGAGCATCTGAACCAATCCAAGTTCCAGGCTCACTGAAATACAAATGTGTTTTCTGACAGTTCTATAGCTGTATTTTTTAAGAGGCGAGAACACACATTCTGAGTACAACACCTTGACCTATTCTTCAGCCTGTGTGACGTGTATGGTGTGTGTAAAAATTCACAGTGTGTCTCTGTACCTCTGCTGACTCACAGTCACACCAGCATCAGTACTGTCAAAAGCCTTCTCATAATCCAGTGGTAATCTAAAAAACTATTAGAACCACTCTAGACCTTTTCAGTTATGCAGGGGCAGAGCCTGACTTTTTGTATTACACTAGTCTTTACCAACATTAGTTTTTTCTCTTCGTTTTTTTGAAGTACTCACTGTGCTTAGACAAGGAATCATTTTCAAAACATATTCAGTGATTTGTGGCTTTGCTCAAAGCCATAGAGCTAACAGTAAAAAAAGTTATGACACAGTACAGTGTGTAGATAGATAGATATTTGCAATATGTTGGAGTTGCATGTTGCAGCTGAACACCCCTCACCTCACCCTCTCCTTCCAAACATGAAAAAGAAACTGTGGTAGCTTCAGTTGTCATAAAAACTCAAAAGGTGTTTAGTTTGTCCAGTCTGGACTAATGTAAAAAACATGGC